GGAATTTATTTAGCGAGTCCAGGTCTGTTTTCCTTCCTGTGTGTCGTGAGTTACTTGGAATGTACCTCCTTGGTTTTCCGTATCCTAAAAATTACTAAATAAGGACATTAACAAAGATGTAGGAGGGGAAAAAAAATCCAGTAACACGGAAATTCCTGATAGTAATTTAGTTTTACTGCTCAACTCGGGCTGTTTTTAAAGCCCTATAATTTCCCCTTCAAGAATATGGCACTAGATGTATAATTCTTTTCCTGTGTCAGCATTCTGATTTTTGAAGGAAGAAATTTTTTTTTTTGGTGATAAACATTCGAATGAGACCTAGACAGAAATTACCTAATGAAAAACCATCACCTATCTTCTAACCCCTGCAGTTTATAACCACCAACATCAATACTTTGATGACTTGTTTATGACCTTCAAACCTATGCCTGTGAAATGCATATGTTTATTTCTCTATATATTTTCCCATGTATAGCTGTATACAAACCACACAATGATAACTGTTTTATTTTTGGCTACATGTGCCATGTATTGCTTTAAAATTTTATATTTCCAACACCATTTGATATTGTCAGGGTTCTTGTTGTTTTTTTTTAAATTTAATTCATTTTAGTAAGGACAGTGGCATCACCTGGTGGCGTTAATTTGATTTTCCTAGCAGCTAAGGAATACTGAATCTCTTTCATGTGCTCATGTGTCATGCATGTCTTTTCTTGGGTGAAATGTCTAGTCAAGACTTTCCCATTATTTAATTAGATTTTTTCCTGTCTTACTATTTGGCTGCAGTGGTTCTCAACCTTCTGACTCTTTAAATATAGTTCCTCACGTTGTGACCCAACCACAAAATTATTTTCATTGCTACTTCATCACTGTAATGTTGTTACTGTTATGAATCGTCATGTAAATATCTGATATGCCGGATGGTCTGTGAAAGGGTCGTTCCACCACCAAAGGGGTCGCGACCCACAGGTTGAGAACTGCTGGCTTAAAGGGTTCTCTATATTTTCTAGATGTAATTCCTTTGTCAGAAAGATAATTTGCAAATATTTTCACCGATTTCCTGTATTTTCACCTTGACTTTTCAGTCTCTTAATATCTTTCACAGAGTGGAAGTTATTAATTGAATAAGTCCAATTTATCAATTTTTTTCTTTTGTAGATTGTGCTTTTAGTGTCATATCTAAAATCTCTAAATTTAAGTCAACAAATTTTCTTGAAGTTTTACAGTTTAACATTTTAAATGTAAATAAATGGTCCACTTGGGTTTATTTTTGTATAAGGTGTGATGTGTGAGTTGAGGTTGGGAGAGAGAGAGAGGGAGAGAGAGAGAGAGAGAGAGAGAGAGAGAGAGAGAGAGAGAGAGAGAGAGAGTATTGGATGTACAGCCAACATCAACTATTTAAAAATTATTTTTTTTTACTGAATTCTTTTTATGCCTTTGTCAGAAACGTTTTGGCTATTTTTTTTTGTGTGTAGGTCTATTTACAAACTCGATTCTGTTCTATTGATATATGTCTCTATCTCCCTACAAACATGTTCTTTTCCAAAATTATGTTAGCTGCTTTAGTTACTTTGACTTTCCATACAAATTTTAGGATATGCTTGTTAACGTCTACCAAAAAAAAGTTTGCTTAAATTTCATAGGAATTTCTTTACATCTATACATCCATTTGGGAAGAACTGACATCTTTGCTATGTTGAATCATCCACTGTATGAACAAGGTTTCTCTTTCCACTGATTTTGGCTTTGTTTGATTTTTTTTATTAGTGTTCTGTAATTTTCAGCATAAAAATCCCGCATACGTTTAGTTAGACTTACACCTAAGATTTTGTTGTTATTGTTTATGATATTGTGGTTTTTTAAATTGTCATCTGAGGATATGTTTATTGGTTTTTTGGGGGGTTTTTTTTGTGTGTGTGTGTTTTTTTTTTTTTTTTTTTTTTTTTTTTGAGAGAGAGAGAGGTAAATGTGAGAGAGAAACATTAATCGGTTGCCTCTCGTAGGCGACATCGGAATCCAAGCATGAGCCCTGAACGGGAATCAAACCTGTGACCTTTTTCTGTGGTGAGTGAGGGGCCTGCAGGAGGCAGCCGATCAATGATTCTCTCTCATCATTGATGTTTCTGTTTCTCTCTCTCCCTCTCCCATCCTCTCTGAAATCAATAAAAATATAAAAATCAATAAAAATAAAAACCGATGACGCCTTTACTTAGCTTTGGGGTTAATAAATGCAGTTATAAAAACTGTTTGAATATGTGAGTACAGTAATAGTAGGAGACATCTATGGATAAGAGGCTGCAGCATCGCATTGCCATTTCCACGTCTCCTATTGACAAGTTTCCACGCAGGTGATCTTGCCAGAAGGTGACAGCAGACGATTTCATACCAATTTCATCCATGTGCGCTTTCCCACCCGAGTGCGGGTTCCTGTCATGTACACGTGTGGGTGGGAGGGTTGTATTGATCCTGAAATTCATTGCAGGCGGCTCACAGCGCCATCTGGCGTCCAACACGGGGAAGGCCAAGGACAGTCTTAAAACTCAGAATCTGCAGCTGTGCAGAAAAGGAACCTTATTCAATATAATTTTTTATTTTTATGTTTTATTGATGTCAGAGAGGAAAGGAGAGGGAGAGAGAGGTAGAAACACCCATGATGAGAAAGAATCATGGATCAGCTGCCTCCTGCACGCCCCCTACTGGGGATGAAGCCCAAAACCCGGGCTTGTGCCTGACGGGGAATCGAACCCAGGACCCTTCAGTCTGCAGGCGGACATTCAACCACCGAGCCAGACCCACCAGGGCCAATATCATTTGATTGTTATAGAAAGTTGGGAAATATTTAAGGGACTGAAACAGCTCATGCAAGATTTGATATCCCAGCACCTTTTGCCTTTTCGTATATAATCTGGCACATAACATTTTTCTTGAATTGCCTGTTTTTAAATGCATAATGAAAATGGAATTTTTTTTTTAAATAGAAAAGCAGAAGGAATGGTAAAATGAACACCTATATCGAATCACCTGGTTTGAAATGATCAACACATTGCTGGAGCAAACTCATCTATATCCACATGTGTGAAGTCGAGGATGTTAGCATAAATATGACCTTATGACATTGCTGCCTGCATGCTTACGAAATAAGGGTGTTCTTTTTTAAAAATTTATTGATTGATTTTCAGAGAGGAAGAGAGAGAAACATTGATTGATTCTTGCATGTGCCCTGCCCAGTGATCAAACCCATGACCTTGGTGTATAAGGACAATGCTCTAACCAACTGAGCTACCCGTAGGCCAGGGCAATAAGGGTATTCTTTTTAAATTTAAGCTTATAGCGCAGCGGTTCTCAACCTGTGGGTCGCGACCCCTTTGGGGGCCGAACGACCCTTTCACAGGGGTCGCCTTTGACCATCAGAAAACACATATTTAATTACATGCTGTTTTTGTGATTAACCACTATGCTTTAACGATGTTCAATTTGTAACAATGAAAATCCATCCTGCCTATCAGATATTTACATGACGATTCATACCAGTGGCAACATGACAGTGATGAAGTAGCAACGAAAAAAATTTCATGGTTGGGGGGTCACCACAACATGAGGAACTGCATTAAAGGGTCGCGGCGTGAGGAAGGTTGAGAACCACTGTTTTAGTGTATGTACTTTTAATTGACTTCAGAGAGGACGGGGGAGGGAGAGAGACACATCAATGACGAGAGAGGATCACTGATGAGCCGCCTCCTGCACACCCCTTACTGGGGATCAAGCCTGCAACCTGGGCATGTGTCCTGCCTGGGAATCGAACCTGTGACCTCCTGGTTCCTACGTGGACGCCCAACCACTGAGCCACACCGGCCAGGCCATAAGGGTGTTCTTTATAACCACAACACCCAGACCACTCCTAACAAAAAAAAATGAGGGCGATGGTTCCCTAGGACCATGATTCCAGGTCTGCATGTCTCTAACTGCCCATACCCCCGCCCTCACCCCCCGGCCCCAGCCAGGATCCGATAGAAAACGTTGACATTTATGTCCCCAGAATTCTTGCCCATTTTAGTGCGATCTCCCCAACCCCATTCCCCGCTTTAACTATGGAGAGGCCTTGCCCGGTGCACTTTTTTTTTTTTTTTCCTCCCGCGACACGCCCCTCCTTCGGCTTCCCTGGGGCCTCCAGGAATTTCTGTTCCAGGCTCCGCAACCCCCAAAGCCAGCAGGGGTGGGCGCCTCCTGCGCATGCGCAGACGGCCTCCCCGAGCGAGCTCAACCCATGGCCCCCTCCCAGCGTCGCCCATCCACCCAAGGGCGGGGCCTGCCGGACACACGGCGTCCGGGCCCGGCGGGGGCCCCTGGCCTGCGCTCCGCCGGGGGGTCGGCTGCACCGGGGAGGCCCGCTGTCCGCGCTGCCGCTGGGGCCGGTTCGGAGAATCCGCTCCGGAGCCGCCCTGCCTGCTGTCTGTCCCCCGACCCAGGCCGGTGCTGTCATAGGTATCCCCTCTCGCTTTTCCGTGTTCGCGTGCAGATGTCTCTGCCTCAGCTGTGCAGGCGCATGGCTGCAGATGACACAAGTCGGGTCTACGGCCAGATCCCTGTGTTTTGCATGGTGTACACCTTTCTCTTCCCCCGCCCCCCCCCCAAAATGCATTCATAATCATTTTTCTTTAAAAGATAAAAATTAATGACTTTTATTGGGGTGACATGGGTTCCTAGGATGAGGGGGGGCTTTTACGGGTACAAGCCTATGATAGCCGGCATCTTCTGTATATTGCATGGCGGGCCTCATCATATTTCTTCCGCTAGGGTCATCTTTTCAGACATCTCTCTGTACGCCATTGCATGGTTGTTATTATTATTGTTGTTGTTGTTAGTTATTTTGGAAAGGCAGACAAGGCACGGCCCCTGTTGGAGTGTTTTCCAGAAATTGTACGTATCCACCTCTCTGGTCATTTCGCTGATTCATTGATGTCTATTGTTTCAGGCTCAGCCTTTGACCCCTCTCTGACATAGGTCTTCGGGAACAGGCTGTTTGTGGCGTGACCTCCGTCGGCGTGGAACAGGGAATGCCTCCCGTGAAACCAAGAGACCCAGCCCACCCGTGTGGCTCAGTGGTTGAGCATCCACCCATGAATCAGGAGGTCAGGGTTTGATTCCCCATCAGGGCACAAGCCCAGGTTGAGGGCTGGATCCCCAGGGTGGGGGTGGGTGTGCAGGAGGCAGCCCATCAATGATTCTCTCTCATCACTGATGTTTCTGTCCCTCTCCCTCCCTCTCTCAAAAGTATATATAGATATCTATCTATCTATCTATCTATCTATCTATCTATATCTATCTGTCTATCTATCTATCTATCTATCTATCTATCTATCTATCTAACAAGGGACACAAAAGCAGCCTTTGGGTAGAAGCAATTCAAGGCTCCCATGAGCAGACTAGGACCTACTTGGGTCTTTAACGTGAAAGGCACCAATGCCAGCAGGTTTCTGTAGAAAGAAACACACCCTCTGACAAGGAAGCAGCCTTAACAGGGGCATCTCTGAGACGCAGTAGCCTGTGTCTGCTATGCAAGCAATGCAATCCTCGAATTAATGGCCATAAAAGCTATTCGGGCTGAAACCGGTGTGGCTCAGTGGATAGAGCGTCGGCCTGCAGACTGAGGGGTCCCGGGTTCGATTCCGGTCAAGGGCATGTGCCTGGGTTGCGGGCACTTCCCCAGTGGGAGGTGTGCAGGAGGCGGCTGATCGATGTTTCTCTCCCATTGATGTTTCTGACTCTCTACCTCTCTTCCTTCCTCTCTGTAAAAAATCAATAAAATATATTTAAAAAAACCTATTCGGGAGGGACCCTTTGTTCTGGGCTTATGATGATGTGAGCAACCCACAGAGCAAACCCATGCTCCCTCGATGGATGCGTTTACTCCAAAGCGTATGTCCGCAGTCAGGAGCTCTGCGGGGTGGGGTGGGGGGTGAATGCTCTATCTACAGACTCTAAAGGTCAGGTCTCAGGGAAAAAATTACTCCTCATCGTCACTCTATGAAACCATCAACCTTAATTTTTAAAAAATATGTCTTTGTTGATTTTATTATTACTTTCTAAAATATATTTTTATTGATTTCAGAGAGGAAGGGAGAGGGGGGAACAGAAACATCAATGATGAGAGAGAACCATCAATTGGCTGCCTCCTGCAACCCAGGCACGCGCCCTTGACCAGAATCGAACCCGGGACCCCTCAGTCCACAGGCCGACGCTCTATCCACTGAGCCACACCAGCTAGGGCTGTTTTTATTGATTTTAGAAGGGGGATGGAGAGAGAGAGATAGAAACATTAGTGATGAGAGAGAATCACTGATTGGATGCCTCCTGCATAACCCCCCCCCCCAACCCCAATGGAGACTGAGCTGTCACCTGGACATGTGCCCTGACTGGGAATTGAAACGTGGCCTCCTGATTCATAGGTCGGTGCTCAACCACTGAGCCATACCGGTTGGACAAGACCTTTGTATTCTTATTTTATTTTTGTTTAATCCTCACCCAAGGAAATTATTTCCATTGATTTTTTTTAGAGAGAGTAAAAAGGAGGGAGAGAGAGAGTCTAAAGGACAGGACAGAGGGAGGGAGGGAGGGAGGGAGGGAGGGAGGGAGGGAGGGAGGGAAAGAGAGAAACATCGATGTAGAGAGACACATCACTTGTTGCCTCCTGAATGTGCCCAACCAAGGTGGAGATTGGACCTGCAACCCAGGTATGTGTCCTTGACCAGGAATCGAACCCTGGACCCTTTGGAGCGAGGGCTGATGCTCTAACCCCTGAGCTACAACGGCCAGGGCAAGCCCTCCATCCTTTTCTCATGACTTTGCCTTTTCCTCCTGCACTTTCCCCCCCTAGTTCTGTGACCTGCGTCTCCGTGGCCCCATGATGCTCCCAGCAACCCTGTCTGCACGCGAGCTGGCACGGAGCCCCCCTTCTTATCGCCGGACTCACAGGACAGTGTGATGAAGTGCACCAAGGTAGGTCTTTTCCTATTTCTCTTTTTTCGTGAATTCTCACCCGAGGATATTTTTCCATTGATTTTTCAGAGAGAGTGGAAGAGAGAGGGAAAGACAGAGAGAAATATCGATGTGAGAGAAACACATCGATTGGTTGCCTCCGGCACGCGGCCCGGGCCAGGGAGGAGCCTGCAACTGCGGTACGTGCCCTTGGCCAGAATAGAACCTGGGACCCTTCGGTCCGCAGGCCGACGCTCTGTCCACTGAGCCACACCGGTCAGGGCCCGAGGTAGGTCTTGCGTGAACAGTGTGCAGAGTCTGTCACCCTCTCCTCGTCTGTATCTGGGCCACTCCAGGCAGGGCCCCACCCCTGTGCTGCTTCCAGCTCGACACGCTCCTCAGAAGCTGGTGAAACAAGAACCTGGGGGGCTGACCAAGGCTCTCCTGTTTCTACCGCTTACTAGACCCAAGGCTGCCAGCTATGCGTTTTTTAAAAATATACTTTTATTGCCAAACCGGTGTGGCTCAGTGGATAGAGCGTCGGCCTGCGGACTGAAAGGTCCCAGGTTCGATTCCGGTCAAGGGCATGTACCTGGGTTGTGGGCACATCCCCAGTGGGGGGTGTGCAGGAGGCAGCTGGTCGATGTTTCTAACTCTCTATCCCTCTGCCTTCCTCTCTGTAAAAAATCAATAAAATATATTAAAATATATATATATACTTTTATTGATTTCAGAGAAGAAGGGAGGGAGGGAGGAGAGAGAGAGAGAGAGAGAGAGAGAGAGAGAGATCAAGGAGGAGACAGAATCATTGATGGCTTCCAGCCATGTTTTAAAGACATGATTTCGTTATAAGCTCCATGGCAATAACAACAGTGGCCCCCTCATAAAGATTTGAGGGGTCCTGGCCGGTTTGGCTCGGTGCATAGAGGGTCAGTTTGTGGACTGAAGGGTCCCGGGTTCGATTCCGGTCAAGGGCACGTACCTCAGTGGCAGGCTCGGTCCCCGGCCCTAGTCCAGGCCCGTTCAGAAGGCGACCAGTTGATGTGTCTCTGTCACACCAGTGTTTCTCCCTCTGCCTCTGCCTCTCCCCTCTTCCACTGTCTCTAAAAATCAATGGAAAAATATCCTCAGGTGAGGATTAACCAGGAAAAAAAAAAAAAGATTTGCGGGAATTAAATGTGTAGATAGCACTTGTTTATACTCAAGACACAGTTTACTTTAAAAATATATTTTTATTGATTTGAGAAAGGAAGGGAGAGGAAGAGAGAGATAGAAACATCAGTGATGAGAGAGAATCATTGCTCAGCAGCCTCCTGCACACCTCCCACCGGGGGTCGAGCCTGCCACCCGGGCATGTGCCCCTGACCGGAATTGAACCCGGGACCCTTCAGTCCGCAGGCCAACGCTCTATCCACTGAGCCAAACCAGCTAGGGCTCAAGACATACTGTAGTGTTAATGTCAGGGAGGTGTCTCTGAAGCTGGTGAGCAGCAATACAGAACGAAAAAGCCACAGACGCCCTAACCGGTTTGGCTCAGTGGATAGAGCGTCGGCCTGCGGACTGAAGGGTCCCAGGTTCGATTCCAGTCAAGGGCATGTACCTGGGTTGTGGGCACATCCCCAGTGGGGTGTGCAGGAGGCGGCTGATCGATGTTTCTCTCTCATCGATGTTTCTGGCTCTCTATCCCTCTCCCTTCCTCTCTGTAAAAAATCAATAAAATATGTTTATTAAAAAAGAAAGAAAAAGCCGCAGAACACACACTGGCTACTGCTTACTTCTTGGTTTTTGGATCAGGAGTCAGGAGGAAACCACCCCCACCTCCCCTGGAGAGATTCTGAACGTAGAATCAGAATAGCCATCTCGCCCAGCCCGTGTGGCTCAGTGGTTGAGCATCACCCCGTGCACCAAGAGGTCTCTGGTTTGATTCTCGGTCCGGGCACGTGCCCGGGTTGCAGGCTCCATCCCTGATTGGCGGGGAGGTGCCGGAGGCAGCCGATCATTGTGTCTCTCTCATCCGTGCTTCTGTCTCTCCCTCTCCTTTCCTATGTCTCTAAACATCAATTTAAAAAGCATTAAAAAAAATGTGAACATTTAAAGGAAAAAAAGACAGAATAGTCACCCGGACAGAGGGACATGGGGACTTGGGTCTGGGACTCCCCACGTAGAAACCCCGACTGCTAACATGCGTCTTGTGGAGTCACTCCAGGGGACAGAACCTGAGCTAAGACTCAGCCCCGCGCTGCAGTGGGACATTCACGGAGAGTTCCTAGAACCATGCTCAACAGACAGTAAGATACCAGTGGGCATCCGCCACAGTATTCAGATCCAGATGGATTCTGACCTCTCCGTTGCAAAATACCACATCAAGACCCCATTTTTCCTACCTCTATTTATTTTTTATTTAAAATATATTTTATTGATTTTTTTACAGAGAGGAAGGGAGAGGGATAGAGAGTTAGAAACATCGATGAGAGAGAAACATCGATCAGCTGCCTCCTGCACACCCCCCACTGGGGATGTGCCCACAACCAAGGTACATGCCCTTGACTGGAATCGAACCCGGGACCCTTCAGTCCGCAGGCTGACGCTCTATCCACTGAGCTAAACCGGTTAGGGCTCTATTTATTTATTTTTTTGTTAATCCTCACCCAAGGATATTTTCCCATTGATTTTTAGAGAGAATGGAAGGGAGAGGGAGAGACAGAGAGAAACATCGATATGAGAGAGACACATTGACTGATTGCCTCCTGCACCTCCTGGACAAGGTACATCTGTACCCTTGGCCAGAATCGAACCCGGGTCCCTTCAGTCCGAGGGTCAGTGCTGTATCCATTGAGCCAAACGGGCTACGGCCACATCAAGACTCTTGTCACTCTTTTCCAGATCAGAAATCTGAGGCACGGGTGGGTGGGTGAAGACACTTGCCCGAAGCCACACAGACAGTGGTCGGACTGGACCAACAGCCCAGCAGCCAGACTCCACACGGCTCATGCCTCAGTATGAAAGCCCAGTGGCCAATGGCACGTAAGTAGCAAAAAAAAAAAATCAGGAATGTTAAATGTTTTATCTGCCTGCCTCCTCCCCAGGGCTCTTCGGCAGCACATTCTTTGGACACCACACTGAGAAGGGGCCTTGGTATCTCACCTTTGGCCTGGTGACAATACAACTCTCCAAATACTCTCTCTACAGGGGGGATGGCCTCGAGCTGTGACCTATAGTAGCAAGTGGCAGGCACCACCCCCCCAAAAAAATCAAAGAACCCATTATATGGTACCCACTGAAATGCCCACATTTTAAAAGTGAAACATGAGACCCAAAAGTGCTAACCCTATTTGTAACATTTCGGGGGGCACTACTAATTAAAGAAGGAAAGAACAAAAGTAAGGACATTGATACCATAACCCATTTCTTTTTAAGTTGGGTTTATTCAGCTGACATTCGTCTTTTTCCCAGTAGATAGTTCAGTGTATTTCAACAGATGCATCCAGGCATGCAAGCACAACCATCATTCAGATCCAGAACATTTTTCATCATCCCCCAAATTTCTGTTGTGTCCCTTTGTAGTTTATCCCTATGTAGATCATATTTTCTTTTCTCCTTTTAAAATATATTTTTTAAGCCGAAACCGGTTTGGCTCAGTGGATAGAGCGTCGGCCTGCGGACTGAAAGGTCCCAGGTTCGATTCCGGTCAAGGGCATGTACCTGGGTTGCGGGCACATCCCCAGTGGGAGATGTGCAGGAGGCAGCTGATCGATGTTTCTCTCTCATCGGTGTTTCTAACTCTCTATCTCTCTCCCTTCCTCTCTGTAAAAAATCAATAAAATATATTTTAAAATAAAATAAAATAAAATAAAATAAAATTTTTAAAATTGATTTTAGAGAGGACGGGAGAGGGAGAGAGAGAGATAGAAACATCAATGATGAGAGAGAATGATTGATCAGCTGCCTCCTGCACGCCCCCCTACTGGGGATCGAGCCCAAAACCCGGGCATATGCCCTTGACCAGAATCGAACCCAGGACCCTTCAGTCCACAGGCCCAGGCTCTATCCACTGAGCCAAACGAGGTAGGGCTGTAGATCATATTTCTGATGCTCTTGTAAAATATACTTTAGCTTCTATACCCAGTTATTCACTAGTATTGGTATATGTGAAGACAATTGAGTTTGACCCATTCGTTTTTGGAAAACTAAAAAAATAAATAAATAAATAAAATTGAGTGGCAGCTTTATGGCATGTGAGGCTTGCCTCCTGTGTGGCCTGGATACATGAACAGCAAAGATCCAGGGTCTCCTTCACGTGAGCCATCAGTCAAGTAGAGATGTAAAGCAGCAACGGAAATCAGACTAGACGTGCATTAGCGAGGACCCTGTGTTATTCTGTCGCAAGCCACAGGATGTACTGCTATGCAGCCGGAATTTAAGGGGTCGTTGAAGGTTTCCTGGAGGAAGCAATTTATGATTGAATACATAAAGGATAAGTAGCAGAAGCCACACACCTCAGCGCTAGGGACGACAGAATAAGGACTGACTTGTATTCACAGAGGGACCAGCGAATGTGTAGAAGTCGAAAGATCTGAGATACCACGTGGCAAGTAGCCATTTCAGAACCCCTGACGAAAGCTGGAAATACATGCTGTCGGGGCTAGGTTGTTGTAGGATTTTATTACATGTTAACGTGTTGGGATTTGATAGTGGTTTTTTGTTTGTTTGTTTGGTTGGTTGGTTTTGTTTCATCTGGGTCTGATTACTAGGACCACAGCTGGTGTAATTAAAATGAGAGTTTGGGAATCGTATACATTTTTTTAAAAGATATTTTTATTGATTTCAGAGGAAAGGAGGAGAGAGAGAGAGAAACATCAACGATGAAAGAGAGTCATTGATCGGATGCCTCCTGCACACCCCCTACTGGGGATGTGCCCGCAACCAAGGTACATGCCCTTGACTGGAATCGAACCCGGGACCCTTCAGTCCGCAGGCTGACGCTCTATCCACTGAGCTAAACCGGTTAGGGCTCTATTTATTTATTTTTTTGTTAATCCTCACCCAAGGATATTTTCCCATTGATTTTTAGAGAGAATGGAAGGGAGAGGGAGAGACAGAGAGAAGCATCGATATGAGAGAGACACATTGACTGATTGCCTCCTGCACCTCCTGGACAAGGTACATCTGTACCCTTGGCCAGAATCAAACCTGGTTCCCTTCAGTCCGAGGGTCAGTGCTGTATCCATTGAGCCAAACGGGCTACGGCCACATCAAGACTCTTGTCACTCTTTTCCAGATCAGAAATCGGAGGCACGGGTGGGTGGGTGAAGACACTTGCCCGAAGCCACACAGACAATGGCCGGACTGGACCAACAGCCCAGCAGCCAGACTCCACACGGCTCATGCCTCAGTATGAAAGCCCAGTGGCCAATGGCACGTAAGTAGCAAAAAAAAAAAAAAATCAGGAATGTTAAACGTTTTATCTGCCTGCCTCCTCCCCAGGGCTCTTCGGCAGCACATTCTTTGGACACCACACTGAGAAGTGGCCTTGGTATCTCACCTTTGGCCTGGTGACAATACAACTCTCCAAATACTCTCTCTACAGGGGGGATGGCCTCGAGCTGTGACCTATAGTAGCAAGTGGCAGGCCCCCCCCCCAAAAAAAAATCAAAGAACCCATTATATCGTGCCCACTGAAATGCCCACATTTTAAAAGTGAAACATGATATCCAAAAGTGCTAACCCTATTTGTAACATTTCGGGGGGCACTACTAATTAAAGAAGGAAAGAACAAAAGTAAGGACATTGATACCATAACCCATTTCTTTTTAAGTTGGGTTTATTCAGCTGACATTCATCTTTTTTTCCAGTAGATAGTTCAGTGTATTTCAACAAATGCATCCAGGCATGCAAGCACAACCATCATTCAGATCCAGAACATTTTTCATCATCCCCCAAATTTCTGTTGTGTCCCTTTGTAGTTTATCCCTATGTAGATCATATTTTCTTTTCTCCTTTTAAAATATATTTTTTAAGCCGAAACCGGTTTGGCTCAGTGGATAGAGCGTCGGCCTGCGGACTGAAAGGTCCCAGGTTCAATTCCGGTCAAGGGCATGTACCTGGGTTGCGGGCACATCCCCAGTGGGAGATGTGCAGGAGGCAGCTGATCGATGTTTCTCTCTCATCGATGTTTCTAACTCTCTCTCTCTCTCCCTTCCTCTCTGTAAAAAATCAATAAAATATATTTTAAAAAAATAAAATATATTTTTTAAAATTGATTTTAGAGAGGACGGGAGAGAGAGAGATAGAAACATCAATGATGAGAGAGAATGATTGATCAGCTGCCTCCTGCACGCCCCCTACTGGGGATCGAGCCCAAAACCCGGGCATATGCCCTTGACCAGAATCGAACCCACGACCCTTCAGTCCACAGGCCGACGCTCTATCTACTAAGCCAAATGAGGTAGGGCTGTAGATCATATTTCTGATGCTCTTGTAAAATATACTTTAGCTTCTATACCCAGTTATTCACTAGTATTGGTATATGTGAAGACAATTGGGTCTGACCCATTCGTTTTTGGAAAACTAAAAAAAAAAAATTGAGTGGCAGCTTTATGGCATTGAGGATTGCCTCCTGTGTGGACTGGATACATGAACAGCAAAGATCCAGGGTCTCCTTCACGTGAGCCATCAGTCAAGTAGAGATTTAAAGCAGCAACGGAAGTCAGACTAGACGTGCATTAGCGAGGACCCTGTTATTCTGTCGCAAGCCACAGGATGTACTGCTATGCAGCCGGAATTTAAGGGGTCGTTGAAGGTTTCCTGGAGGAAGCAATTTATGATTGAATACATAAAGGATAAGTAGCAGAAGCCACACACCTCAGCGGTAGGGACGACAGAATAAGGACTGACTTGTATTCACAGAGGGACCAGCGAATGTGTAGAAGTCGAAAGATCTGAGATACCACGTGGCAAGTAGCCATTTCAGAACCCCTGACGAAAGCTGGAAATACATGCTGTCTGGGCTAGGTTTTTGTAGGATTTTATTACCTGTTAACGTGTTGGGATTTTATAGTGGTTGTTTGTTTGTTTGTTTGTTTGGATGGTTTTGTTTCATCCGGGTCTGATTACTAGGACCACAGCTGGTGTAATTAAAATGAGAGTTTGGGTATCGTATACATTTTTTTTAAAGATATTTTTATTGATTTCAGAGGAAAGGAGGAGAGAGAGAGAAACATCAATGATGAAAGAGAGTCATTGATCGGATGCCTCCTGCACACCACTCTCTGGGCATGGAACCCACAACCCGGGCATGTGCCCTTGACCCGAATCGAACCTGGGACCTGTCAGTCTGCAGGCCAGCGCTCTACCCACTGAGCCACACCAGCTAGGGCAGTCTTGTACACTTTAAGGGGGAAAAAAATACAGTTTAGAGCAGCGGTTCTCAACCTGTGGGTCGCGGCCCCTTTGGGGGTCACACGACCCTTTCACAGGGGTCGCCTAAGACCATCGGAGAACACATAGATAGTTACATGTTGTTTTTGTGATGAATCGCGATGCTTTAATGATGTTCAATTTGTAACAATGAAAGTGGGGGTCCCCACCACATGAGGAACCGTATGAAAGGGTCGCCGCGTCAGGAAGGTTGAGAACCGCTGGTTTAGAGTCAAACTCTTCGCGGCAACTGAAGAGTACGGGGTGGGGGAAACGAGAGAGAAAGCAAGCATCAGGCTGGCCCCAGAAAAAAATGGGGTGTTTTCAGGGGAACGGCCTTGCTTTGCGGGAGTCCGACGGGGAAGGCTCTTCCTAGAAGGAGGCAGTTCAGCTCCCAACACAGGTTATTTCTCCGCTTAAAACTCCCCTTCTCAAATTTCAGACGTCCCTGCTCTGCTGTTTCTGGGGGGGAATCGGGGACCCCCCGAACTCACAGCGCCATCTAGCATCGGGAAAGATGGGAGGCCGGGGACAAGGGAGCCAAAAAGTTCAGGGGGAAAAAAAAAAAAAAGATGGGATCCGGGAGCCAGGAATGCCTGTGTTCACTGGAGCAGGGGTTTTAAATACAGGGCGCCCCCGCCCCCCCCCCCAAAATGTATACACACTTCGAATAATTATGAATTCCAGTGGGTTCAAGCTGAAAATAAAGAAACATCCATGGAGCTATCAGGTGTATACGCTTTTTTAGGGGGAGACACCCTATATATTTATTTCAAAAGTGAAACTTTAAAAAGAAAGTGACACTTAATGCCTCATTTCTGCAGGAGGCGGAGGGGGTGAGGTGGGAGAAACGTGATCTTTAATTATTCTCAGTGAAGACACAGGGAAACCTGGCCCCCGTCCACTTTACAGCTTCTGCTTGTCCCTGAAGGGTTACAGGAGGGTGGGCGCGCGTGCAGCTGGTTTGATGCATTGACTTCCTTCACCGGTAGGGGCGCGCCGGAGTGTGTTACGGTGAACACTCACGTACACGGCGCACATAAGCTTGTAACACTAGTTCCGCCCTGTGTTTGCAAACACCGTTTCCTTCTCCGGTCTCCCTCTCTATATAGCGAAAGCCCGGCTGGGATATTGTTTAAAACGTCCTGCAGTCCGATCGAGTGGAGCGTCGGCCCCCGAGAGCCCGCGGATCGCACCCTGGCCGCGCGGACTGCGGTCAGAGCGGCCGGCCTGTCGCCGCTGTCTGCGCGCGGCCATGGCGCGAGTGCTGCCGGCTCGCTCGCTCGCTCGCAGTGCACGGCGGGAAGGTCACGTAGCTCGCAGGCCAGCCGCAGCCCCAGGGGCGGGTCCTGTGCGAGTCCGCCGGGAGTGGGCGGGGCCGGGAGACGTGCGGCGTCCTTTCTTTTCCCTTCCGGTTTCCGTTTCCGCCATCTTCTTCCGGTCCCTTCTCCTTAAGGCACCGGTGGGGATTTCCTGTGGGTCGTTTGCGCCGCAAAAAACTTTAAGAATAAAAGTATTCTCCTCACCAGTAATTTCCCTCTCCAGGCTGCGTATCATCGTTTTCATTCTAGCCTTTAACCTTCGTGTTAACCTCGGTGTTTTTTTTTGTTTCTTTTGTGTGTGTGTTTCTTTTTCTTTCCGAAAAACTATGTCCTTTTAAAACAGGAGCCGCTTTCCCGTTGGTTTAGCGCATTCACTGGGAAGGGTGAAATATTTCTCGTATTTCTGAACTCGAGGTCTTTCCTGTGGGAAAACAGTGTTTGTAATGTTCATCATTCTTAGCTTGCCGTTAGGATGCTTGATTGCTTCTCTAATTTTAAATTTTTTTTTCCAAGAAAACATCTTTCATCTGAGGGGCTTGTAGGGGCTTCAAGTCAGACCCCCCCCCCCCCAGCACACACCCCCTCCAGTTTCCGTGTTCACATCAGGCGTCATTTTTTAAAAAAATTGTGCAGGTTTGGCAAAGTGTCACAACCTTTAAAACGGCAGCTGGGCCTTGCTCTGCCCCGGGTGCCCCTGTGTCTTCCTCTCCCTTTGCTCTGAAACGGATTACTCAGCCGCCTCCCCAATGTCCCCCCAATGTCTCCCCAATGTTCCCCCCAATGTTCCCCCCGTGGTGCCCCTCAGGTTTGCCACGTGACCCTTCCTGTTCTGGCTTCCCTTTTCCTTTTTAAAAATTTCCCCCAAACTGTAATTCAAAGGCTGGAAGTTTGGGGTTTGTTTTTTTTTTCCTGTAAAGGACCAGATATTACATATTTTTATTGATTGATTGATTTCAGAGAGGGAGAGGGGGAGAGACGCATCAGTGGTGACAGAGAATCGTGGCTCAGCTGCCTCCTGCACGCCCCCCACTGGGGATGGAGCCCCCACCCCGGCCTGTGCCCTTGACTGGATTCGAACCCGGGACCCTTCGGTGCGCAGGCCGACGCTCTGTCCACTGAGCCACCCCGGCCTGTGCCCTTGACTGGATTCGAACCCGGGACCCTTCGGTGCGCAGGCCGACGCTCTGTCCACGGAGCCACCCCGGCCTGTGCCCTTGACTGGATTCGAACCCGGGACCCTTCGGTGCACAGGCCGACGCTCTGTCCACGGAGCCACCCCGGCCTGTGCCCTTGACTGGATTCGAACCCGGGACCCTTCGGTGCACAGGCCGACGCTCTGTCCACGGAGCCACCCCGGCCTGTGCCCTTGACTGGATTTGAACCCAGGACCCTTCGGTGCGCAGGCCGACGCTCTGTCCACTGAGCCACCCTGACCTGTGCCCTTGACTGGATTCGAACCCGGGACCCTTTGGTGCACAGGCCGACGCTCTGTCCACTGAGCCACCCCGGCCTGTGCCCTTGACTGGATTCGAACCCGGGACCCTTCGGTGCGCAGGCCGACGCTCTGTCCACGGAGCCACCCCGGCCTGTGCCCTTGACTGGATTCGAACCCAGGACCCTTCGGTGCGCAGGCCGACGCTCTGTCCACGGAGCCACCCCGGCCTGTGCCCTTGACTGGATTCGAACCCAGGACCCTTCGGTGCGCAGGCCGATGCTCTGTCCACGGAGCCACCCCAGCCAGGGCCGGTGTTGCATGTGTAGGGGGACCTCCTGGTCTCTGTGCCAGGTGCTCGCCTCTGCAGGGGCTCCGTGGGAGCAGCCGTGGGCCACACGTACCCCGAGGGCGCGGCTGTGATTCCAGCAGAGCTGGAGCCACCACGGCCTGATTTGATCAATAAAAAGGTCGTGTCCGACCCGGGAGGTTAATCTCAGCTCCTTGTGTATCCAGCCTCGGAAGTCATGCATATTTTGATTTTTGTTGTTAATTATTTTGAGTTTATCTGCATTCCGTGCTGTATGAGGAAATGTCTACGCAATATGACAGACGGTGGGGGGTGGGAGAGGCCGGGGAGAGGTCAATGGGGGGAAAAGGAGACATGTAATACTTTAATCAAAAAAGGATTTAAATTAAAGAATATTACAGAAGGTAAGGGGAAGGGAGAGATCCCCATCCGACATAAAGACACTATGGTCTGCTATATGGATTAGTTGGGTCTATTGTTCCATCCCCTGGTATTTTTTTATTTTATTTTTTTGTTTTTTGTTTTTGTTTTTTTTATTGCTTAAAGTATTACAAAGAGTATTACATATGTCTCCTTTTTTTTTTTTTTTTTGGCCTCGTATTTTTTTAAAGTATACTTTTTTTTTTTTTAAAGAGGAGATATGTTGGTGGTAGTGTTAAAGAAATAATTCAGTGACCAAGATGGGAAGGCCGACTGTATTCAGGACCATTGTAATAGGTACAGTGGCCAATGCAATGGGGTTTTACAGTAAAGGAGAAAGATTAGGCTCAATCCCAAATATGGCAAAGGCAAGTGAGAACTGATAGCCAAGGAGCAGGGGTGAGAGTCAGCATATAAAATGTCACTAAGCCCGGCCGGTGTGGCTCAGTGGTTGAGCATCAACCTATGAACCAGGAGGTCAGGGTTCGATTCCCGGTCAGGGCACAGGCCCGGGTTGCAGGCGTGGGGCATGCGGGAGGCAGCCAGTCCATGATTCTCTCTCATCATGGATGTTTTTCTGCCTCTCCCCATCCCTTCCTCTCTGAAATCAATAAAAAATATATTTTTTAAAAACAGAACAAAAAGCATTACTAAGAGGAAACAGGAGTAAGAGAGGCTCTGGCAACATCGACCTAACAGGATTCCTGCTGGAGGCAGATTGGGCTCATCAGACACAAACTGGGGGGAAGGAGGAAGAGGAGGAGGAGGAGGAGGAGGAGGAGGAGGAGGAGGAGGAGGAGGAGGAGTTGTTGTTTCATTACATATTGAGGATGGTCAGTCATCTGGGGTGGGAGTCTCTGGCAAAGAAAGTGCCTTCGCAGGGTTCTCGCTAAAATTAGGTTTTATAAGGAAGTGCGTGCTGGTAGCTGGGACGAAGGGGAAGTTTCAGGGGCCTGACGAGAAGTTTGGTCAAGCAACGGTTTTCGTCAGTAACCAAAAAAGAAAGAAGATGGAAAAGAAAAATAGTGTAATTTTATTTTTCAGTTAAGGAAATTCTCTGATACCAATGATTCCAGAAATTGATCACTGCTGTACACTACCACTGTTCTTTTTGAAATAGATTATTTTATTTATTGATTGATTTTTTAGAGAGACAGAGGAAAGGGAGAGAGAGAGAGAGAAAGAGAGAGAGAGTGTGTTGCTGTTCCACGTATTCATGCATTCATTGGTTGATGTGGTCAGAGGGTAGAAAGAGAGAAAAATAAAAATGAGGGGTTGGCCCCACGGTCTTGGAACTACAACCCCTCCCAGTGGAGGAGAAAGTTTTCCTACTCATTGTTTTTTTGTGTGTGACCCGCCCTTAGCTGCCGCCGTCACCATGACAACAGGGAGATCTCCTGATTTGGGAGGGAGAGATTGGAGAAAAGAAAGGCAGGCGGAAGGAGGGGGGAGGGAAACTGTGATCCCTGAACTTTTAATCCGCAGGCTCGAACCAGAGGGCTTTTCACCACCAGCACTCACTCACTTCTGGGTTTCTCGATGCGTTAAGTTCAGGCTAGGAGATACACGCAGGACAGAAAAGAAAACGCAGCACCAACTGTTTCAGTAACTCCTTTTTAAAAAAATATATTTTATTGATTTTTTTACAGAAAGAAAGGGAGAGGGATAGAGAGTTAGAAACATCGATGAGAGAGAAACATCCATCCGCTGCCTCCTGCACACCCCCTACTGGGGATGTGCCCGCAACCAAGGTCCATGCCCTTGACCAGAATCGAACCTGGGACCCTTTAATCCCCAGGCTGACACTCTATCCACTGAGCCAAACCGGCCAGGGCAGTAGTTCCTTTTTAAAAAAGTATTTTTATTGATTTCAGAGAAGAATAGAAAGGGAGAGAGAAACAGAAGCATCCGTGATGAGAGAGACTCATTGACCAGCTGCCTCCTGCACACTACACAGTGGGGATTGAGCCCCCAACCCGGGCATGTGCCCTGACCAGGAATTGAACTGTGACCTCCTGGTTCATAGGTTGACGCTCAACCACTGAGCCACACCGGCCGGACTCTGTCAGTAGTTCTTCACAATCCAGTGTTCTTCCTCTTTCTCCTGTTGATTTATGGCCTGAGAGATATATATTCTGCCAAACCTGGAGGTGTTTCTTTTTCAGGGCCGGGGATTGAATAGTTACTTTCAGAGTCTCCCAGCTCTTGCCGATCCATTCAGTGGGAGAGACGCGGCCTGCTGTGCTGGCCTCATCTTACCCTTCTGGACCCGTGAAGTTCAGGCTTGTCACTGACAGATTCCCCACCAGGTTCATCAGGAAGGGAACCCTGAAGGCCGAGTGTCCCACCTTCTCAATTCGGGCCAAAGACATATTTAATTCATGTTCACAAAGTTATATTCGAAAAACATCATGTGGCTCAGGGGTTGAGCATTGACCTATGAACCAGGAGGTCACCGTCCGATTCCTCGTCAGGGCACATGCCTGGGATGTGGGCTTGATCCCCAGTGTGGGGCGTGCAGGAGGCAGCCGATCCATGGTTCTCTCTCATCATGGATGTTTCTCTCTCTCTCTCCCTCTCCCTTCTTCTCCGCAATCAATTAAAAATATATATTTTAAAAAAATCATCATGTGAAACCCAACTTCTTCATTTTGGTATATAGGACTTTCCATTCAGCTTTTTTATATGTATTTTATTTTATTTTTACATGCAATAAACATTAATATCTCAAAAACAGTTTTAAATATAACAAAGTCACATGCAATAAACGTTAACATTTCAAGAAAAACTATTTTAAGTATATTACATGCAATAAAAATATCTCCATTCAGTTTTAATCTATTCATATGTGAATTTTAAACTATGTTTATAACGATGTCATTTGAATAAGAATGCCACCCCTTCAGTAGCAACTACAGATGTTAGTAAACGTTCTCTCTTTTAGTATTTCTTTTATACAGTAATTTCTAAAAATATATCTATCTTTGTCTGGGGCCGGCATTGAGCCAGAGGCAAGAATGCTCTTGGGTAGACGTTCAAATTGGAGGAGAATTCCCCACGCGATGGCTCCGACGTGGAGACCAGAATCCTCTTAGAGAAGAGAGGAGACCTGGGCAGAAGGGAGATGCTGATGGGAGCGAGACAGGTGAGGCCGGCAGGCAGGGAGCGCTCAGCTCCCCCTGCCCCACGCGGGGCGGGCCTTTACAAGACCTTAAACCTCACTGCATATAAGCCCAACCAATGGACACAGACAACAGAGGGGGCAAGGGCATGAGTGGGGGGGGGGGCTATGGGGGGAATGAGGTCACATATGTAATACCTTAATCAATAAAGAAATTAACGGTTGGAAAAAAAAAACACCTCACTGGCACCTGCATCCCGCGGTGTGCCTCTCCTCTTAGGGGCTCCTTGCTTTCCCGACACAAACCTCGGGTTAACCGCCCTTGTCCCCGCAGAAGGCTTTCCTAGGCGTTGTCTCCATATGCTGTTGGGCGGACGCGCCCGTAGCAGAGCTAACATCATGGGTGGCACCCCAGCGGGGCCGGCTTCTGTGAAATCCTTCATCGTTCTCAGCTTCCTCGTTTCCTCTTCTTCCCTCCCTCCCCACGGCCCCTCTTTCTGGGCTTGTCGCCTCTAGAACCGATTCTCCCGGCCAGGCTCCACGGAGCCCTCCTGTCCATCCACGCCTCGCCTGGCCTGTGAGGCTGTGGACCAACACGAAAGATTTCTAAGAGCTCAAGCTGCACCCCTAGATGGACCCTGGGGCCCCCTGAAGTGCCTGTCTGGGAAAACTCAGCCTAAACAGGTTACTGTGGCCCCGCCCGCTCCTGGTGGTAGGACCCTGTCCGTAGGCCTGACAACTGGCAGATGTAAAAGGCAGTGCTGTTAACCAGGGTCAGCAAGCGGCGCCCCAGCCCCAGGACCTGTATTATCACCGGACGTTTGCACCTTCTGAAGACGGCAGGAGCCTGACGTCGGTGTGTGCTGGCTCACAAACCCAGGTACCTCCCATGTGGGCCCACCCTCTTTCCCGCCTAACCTTTCACTTCCCAGACTCCTGAACCCCCACTCACCTTCCTCCCTAATGGCTCGTTCTCTCCTTTTATTTTTTAAATACATTTTTATTAATTTCATAGAGGAAGGGAGGAGGAGAGAGAAAGAGAAACATCAGTGATGAGAGAGAACCATGGATCGGCCGCCTCCTGCACGCCCCACACTGGGGATCGAGCCCACAACCTGGGCATGTGCCCTGACCGGGAATCGAACCGTGACCTCCAGGTTCATAGGTCGACGCTCAATCACTGAGCCACGCTGGCCAGGCTCATATTCTCCTTTTAAAAGGCTCTGTCGCTGCACAAAAGCTTTTTATTTTGATGTAGTCCCATTTGTGTATTTTCTCTTTAGTTCCCATTGCCCTAGGAGCCGTATCGGTGAAGAGATTGCTTTGGCATCTGTCCGAGATTTTGCTGCCTGTGGGTTCCTCCAATATTTTTGTGCTTTCCTATCTTATGTTTAAGTCCTTTATCCATTTTGAGTTTATTTTTGTGCGTGGTATAAGTTGGTGGTCTAGTCTGTCCCAAGAAACTAGAAACACCAATCAGAAAGGACACATGCACCCCTATGTTCATTGCAGCACAATTCACCATAGCAAAGATTTGGCAACAGCCTCAGTGCCCATCAGCAGACGAGTGGATTAGAAAACGGTGGTCCATCCACACAATGGAATGCTACGCTGCAGTAAAAAAAGAAGGAATTCTTTCCATTTGCAACAGCATGGATGGACCTAGAGAGTGTTATGCTAAGCGAAATAAGCCAGTCGGAGAAACATAAATATCCCATGATCTCACTCATTTATGGAATATGATGAACAACATAAACTGATGAACAAAAGCAGATCCAGAGACAGAGAAGCATCAATCGGACCATCAAACCTCAGAGGGAAGGTAGGAGAGGGTGGGGGTAAGGGGGAGAAATCAATCAAAGGACTTGTATGCAAGCATATAGGCCTAACCAATGGACACAGACACCCGGGGGGTGAGGGCATGAGCGGGGAGGGGCGGCAGGCAGGGGCGGGGGAATGGGGGGATAAGGACACATATCTAATACCTTAATCAATAAAGGAAAAAATAAATAAAAGGCTCTGTCGCCTCTGAGCAAATCCACGTGGAGCTCAGGCCCCACTGGACTCTTTCCCGGTTGCCATAGTACATCCCCGATAAAACCCGCCCTGACCGCTTACACTGGTGTGCGGCTTTTCTAGCTGGCAGCCACCTGGCTCCACTCGGATCTGCATCGGACCCCCCCTGGGCGCGCGGGCGTGACAACTGGACGTCTCAGCGGCAGAGCAGGCTCGGTCTCACCCTCCCGCCTCCTCGCTCCCGCTCGGTCCCGTGTCTGGTGGTGAGTCCAGCTCCTGAGCCGGGGCTCTTTCCGTTCCTCATTCTGAGCATGCTCTCGGACGCCCGGGTAGGGCCTCAGACGTCCTCTAAGCGGTGTTTTCTAGAATTGAAGCTCTTCCTGGCGGCCTCTTCCTTGTGGGGTCCATCATGCGCTGACCGCTGGGCTGGAGAAAATTAGTTCTCCTGCCTGCATTTTGAAAAACGGAGATATAACTGACATAACACTGTGCTAGCGTGAGGTGGGGGCATACGAGTGTGAGCTCATATATGTTTACAGTGTGAAGTGATTATCAATCACACGTTTCGCTAACGGCCGTCAGCAAAAATAGTTACACACACGTGTGCGTGTGTGTGTGTGTGTGTGTGTGTGTGTGTGCGTTTTCTTAGGATGAGAACTTTTTGTTGTTGCTAATCCTCAACCACGGGTATTTTCCTGTTGATTTTATTTGGAGAAAGTGGAAGGTAGAGGGAGACACCGAGAGAGAGAAACATCGATGTGAGAGAGACGCAGTGATTGGTTGCCTCCCTCACACGCCTTGACCAGGGCCCGGAATCGAGGCTGCAACCCAGGTACGTGCCTTGACCGGAATAGACACTGGGCCCTGACCGGTTTGGTTCAGTGGATAGAGCACCGGCCTGTGGACTGAAGGGTCCCGGGTTCGATTCCAGTCAAGGGCATGTACCTGGGTTGTGGGCACATCCCCAGTAGGAGATGTGCAGGAGGCAGCTGATCGATGTTTCTCTCTCATCGATGTTTCTGGCTCTCTATCTCTCTCCCTTCCTCTTTGTAAAAAAATCAATAAAAAATTTTTTTAAAAGAAACTGGGACCTTTCAGTCTACAGGCCAATGCTCCACCCACTGAGCCCAATCGGCCAGGGCGTGATGAGAACTTTTGAGATGTGCTCTCTTAACTTTCAGATATACAGTGCGGTGGCGTTAGCTATCGTCACCTTGCTGCACGTTACAGCCCAGGACTTGTACCAGCACTGGAAGCTTGTGCCTTCTACCTTCACCCATTTTAACCCCCGCCCCACCTCTGGCAACCGCCAGTCTGTTCTCTGTTTCGTTTTTAAACGTTTTTTTTTTTTTTAAATTCCGCATCTAAGTGAGATCGCACAGTATCTCCCGGGCCCTGACTTATTTCACTCACCATGCCTTCGAGGTCCGTCCACTTCTTGTTACAAACGGCAGGATTTCCTTCTTTTTTTCTTTTTTAAATATATTTTATTGATTTTTTTACAGAGAGGAAGGGAGAGGGATAGAGAGTTAGAAACATCGATGAGAGAGAAACATCCATCAGCTGCCCCCTGCACACTCCCTACTGGGGAGGTGCCCGCAACCAAGGTACATGCCCCCGACCGGAATTGAACCTGGGACCCTTCAGTCTGCAGGCCGACGCTCTACCCACTGAGCAACACCGGCCAGGGCAGGATTTCCCTCTTTTCATGACAATAATACACACACACACATACACACACACACACACATATGGTATGTAGTTCCATTTTTTTTAAAATATATTTTATTGATTTTCACAGAGAGGAAGGGAGAGAGATAGAGAGTTAGAAACATCGATGAGAGAGAAACATCGATCAGCTGCCTCCTGCACATCTCCCACTGGGGATGTGCCCGCAACCCAGGTACATGCCCCTGACCGGAATCGAACCTGGGACCTCTCGGTCCACAGGCCGACGCTCTATCCACCGAGCCAAACCGGTTTCGGCTGTAGTTCCATTTTATAAAAATATTTTTTTATTGATTTCAGAGAGGAAGGGAGAGGGAGAGAGAGCGAGAAACATCAACGATGAGAGAATCACTGATCAGCTGCCTCCTGCACGCCCTCCACTGGGGATCGAGCCCACAACCCAGGCACGTGCCCTGACCGGGAATCAAACAGTGACCTCCTGGTTCATAGGTCCGTGCTCAACCACTGAGCCGCACCAGCCGGGCTTAGTCTGATTTCTTCCTCAACTTCTGACCGTAAAAGTGTATCAAGTCCAGTTCCCACCCCCTAGGTCCAGGCAGCAGGAATCCATCCTCTTCATGGACCGGCGGGAAGGGAACCCCGGGGATGGAAATGGCCGTGCAGACCTCAGCCAACGACATGGAGACGTGGGGTGTGAGGTGACACGCCCCAGAGGTGAGGTGATGAGGGGGCTGCCGGCCTCCCCGGCTGAGAGAAAATATCATTGATCGAACGTGGGAGGCTTCTGGGAAGGCATTTGCCGGAACAGTAGGTGCCTGTGGGTCTCAGGGGATGTGGGCATCGAAGTGACTCGAGCGAAGTAACCAGGTGGGCCCAGCAGCAGCCGCTGGAGGCCCCGGAGGCAGAGTGTGCGACCGTCTGCTGCCATTGACTCAGTTTCTTCTCCTCCTCTTTCCGCTCCAGCGGCCCAACACGCCCGATCGGAAGGACGACGCGATGGGGCCAGGTCCGCTCCCCTCCGTCCTTGCGGTCGCCGACGCTGCGCCAGTCCCTCCTGGTCGCCCAGGTACGTGGTGCCGCCTCCGAGTCACTCCTCACCGGGTGCAGCACAGACAGTGGCTTCACAGCAGCCCTCACGGCCCAGGCCCCATGTGGGGACCCACACGTGTGCTGTCCGTTCCAGGTAAGTGCTCACCAGCAGGGAATAGCCACAGATGGGTTCAGAGACGCCCTGCACGCAACACACATGCACCTGAGACAGGTTTTCTTCAGAGAGGTGGATGCCAACAGCCACTCATTGAGTGAAGGGGCAGGAAACACTGTGCGTCTATTGAAACAACACCAGTTTTAAAAAGTTAACGAGGAGATTCAGAATTATTAGTGGACATTCGTTTTCCTAAAACACAGCTGCACAGGTCACAGGAAGAGAGGAGGGGCTTGACCCACCAGCTAGCACTGAGAATAAGTTTGTGAAAGACACTGCCAGAGAGCAGGGTCTTACCTGAGTGACTAGTATTGAGAAGGGGCTTGTGCAAATGACTGGCATTGAGAGTAATGTTGTCCTAGGGACTGGCAGAGTGATGGGGCTTGTCCATGAGACGGGCATCGAGAATAAGGCTGTGCTGTCCCAGTTACTATCATTGGGAATAAGGTTGTCCAAATGAATGGCAGTGAGCAGGGGCTTTTCCAAATGACTGGCATTGATACGGGGCTTGTACAAATTACTGACATTGAGAATAAAGTTGGACAAGTGACTGACGGAGATTAGGGGTTTGTAAAATGGACTGGCATTGAGAAAATGGTTGTTCACGTGACTGGCAGAGAGCAGGAGCTTGTCCAATTGAGTAGCAGAGAGATGGGGCTTACCCAAGTGTCTGGCATTGAGAATAAGGCTGTCCAAGTGACTGGCATTGACAAGAATGTGGTCCGTGTGACTGGCAGAGAGCAGAGCCTTGTGCAACTCATTCGAATTGAGAATAAAGCTCTCCATGTGACTGGAAGAGAGCTGGATCTTGTCCAAATTATTGCCATTGAGAATAAGTTTGTCCAAGTAACTGGCATTGAGAAGGGGCTTGTTCAAATGACTGGCATCGAGAGTAAGGCTGTCCAAATGACTAGCAGAGAGCAGGGCCTTATCCAAGTGACTGGCATTGAGAATAAAGCTGTCCAAGTGACTGGCAGAGAGCAGGGCTTTGTCCAAGTGACGGGCATTGAAGAGGGGTTTCTGCAAATGAGGAGCATTGAGAAGACGGTTGTCCAAATAACTTGTCATTGAGAAAGGGCTTTTCCAAGTGACTGGCATTGAGAAGGAGCTTGTGCAAATGACTGGCATTTAGAAGAAGGTTGTCCAAGTGACTGGAATTGAGAAAAAGGTGTCCAAGTGACTGGCAGAGAGCAGGGCCTTGTACAAGTGACTGGCATTGAGAAGGGGCTTGTGCAGATGACTGGCATTGAGCAGGGTCTTGTCCAATTGCCTGGCATTGAGAAATAGGTTGTCTAAGTGACTGGCAAAGAGCACGGGATAACCCAAGTGTTTTGCATTGAAAATATGGCTGTCCAAAATTACTGGCATTGAGAATAAGGTTGTCCAAGTGACTGGTAGAGAGCAGAGCCTGGTGCAATTGGCTGATATTGAGAATCAGGCTGTCCAAGTGACTGGCATTGAGGAGGGGCTTGTGCAAATGACTGGCATTGAGAATATGGCTGTCCAAGTGACTGGCATTGACAAGAGTGTTGTCCGTGTGACTGGCAGAGAACAGAGCCTTGTCCAAGTGACTGGTATTCAGAATAAGTTTTTCCAAGTGACTGGTAGAGAGCAGAGCCTTGTGCAAAGGACTGGCATTGAGAATAAGGCTG